TGCTACTTAATTCCACTCCATTCTACTCCATTCCACTCCATTCTATTCTGTTCCACTCCATTCTATTCTGTTCCACTCCATTCCACTCAATTCCACCCCATTCTACTCAATTCCACTACATTCTACTCAATTCCACTCCATTCCACTCAATTCCACTCCATTCTACTCCATTCCACTCCATTCTACTCCATTCTACTCCATTCTACTCCATTCTACTCAATTCTACTCCATTTCACTCCAATTCCACTCCATTCTACTCAATTCTACTCCATTCCACTCCATTCTACTCAATTCTCCTCCATTCTACTCATTTCTCCTCCATTCCACTCCATTCTACTCCATTCCACTCCATTCTACTCAATTCTCCTCCATTCTACTCAATGCTACTTAATTCCACTCCATTCTACTTTGTTCCACTCCATTCTACTCCATTCCACTCCATTCTATTCTGTTCCACTCCATTCTATTCTGTTCCTCTCCATTCTACTCCATTCTACTCAATGCTACTTAATTCTACTTCATTCCACCCCATTCTATTCCATTCTACTCAATTCTATTCTATTCTACTCAATTCTACTCAATTCCACTCCATTTCACTCCATTCTACTCCATTCTACTCCATTCTACAGTATTCCACTCCATTCTACTCCATTCTACTCCATTCTACTCCATTCCACTACAGTATTCCACTCCATTCTACTCCATTCTACTCCATTCTACTCCGTTCTACTCCATTCTATTCTGTTCCACCCCATTCTACTCATTCTATTCTGTTCCATTCTCCATTCCACTCCTCATTCCACCCCCATTCCACCCCATTCTACTCAATTCCACTACATTCTACTCAATTCCACTCCATTCCACTCAATTCCACTCCATTCTACTCCATTCCACTCCATTCTATTCTGTTCCACTCCATTCTATTCTGTTCCACTCCATTCCACTCAATTCCACCCCATTCTATTCCATTCTACTCAATTCCACTACATTCTACTCCATTCCACTCCATTCTACTCATTTCTCCTCCATTCCACCCCATTCTACTCCATTCCACTCCATTCTACTCCATTCTACTCCATTCTACCCTATTCGACTCCCATTCCACTCCATTCTACTCCATTCCCCCCATTCTACTCCATACTACTCCATTCTACTCCATTCTCCCCTATTCTACTCCATTCTACCCCCATTCTACCCCCATTCCACTCCATTCTACTCAATTCTACTCCATTCCACTCAATTCCACTCCATTCTACTCAATTCTACTCCATTCTACTCAATTCTACTCCATTCTACTCCATTCCACTCCATTCTACTCAATTCTACTCCATTCTCCATTCCACTCAATTCCACTCCATTCTACTCCATTCCACTCCATTCTATTCTGTTCCACTCCATTCTACTTTGTTCCACTCCATTCCACTCAATTCTCCTCCATTCTACTCAATGCTACTCAATACCACTACCCATTCTTATGATGAATGCAAACGAGTATTCTATTCTAACCTTTATTGACAACAAGGATTATTAAAAATCATATTCAAAAACTAGAATAAAATACACATCTACATTCTTATTCTTCATTGACATTATCATTCTCATTCTCATTCTCATTCTCATTCTCACTCTCATTCTCATTCTCATTCTCGTTGTCACTCTCACTCTCACTCTCATTCTTCATTCTCTATTTTACTATGAAAGTATTACTAAAAAAATCTACGATACTTTCCAGAGATGGGATGTTATTTATACTGTTTTATTGAATACTAGCTGTGCCCGCGGTTTCACCTGCGTTGAATTTCAATAAAAAATATAGCCTGTGTTATTCTATTAATACATAAGCTGTAAAATTTCATCAAATTTCGTTCAGTAGTTTTTGCGTGAAAGAGTAACAACCATCCATACTCACAAATTTTCGCGTTTGTAATATTAAATAAGATAATGGTGTATATATACAACAAATGAAATTATAAAAAATATAATGATTTTGCGGCTTATTTTTTGTAATAGATATATAATGTTACCTCTTACATGTTGCACTGCATCGAATTACATGTTCCAATAAATAAGGATTGCTTATTTATTCGATATTATCAGATAAATGCTGTAAATCACTGAAAGTGGCCATTAAAAGTGAAACTCATTAAAGTTATAATGATTTCTCACTTTGCGCCGCGTTCGGTAACAAATGAACCTAGTTATATGCCTACAATGAACTGAAATATCATCAGACCGTTTAACCTATTTTTTCAATATTTTCTTAGCAAATAAGTTGACGGTTCACCTGATGATAACCGCTCAACTATCCCTTATATACTTGAACAGCCCTACGAACATCACGTTATCATATGACGCCCGTGATACCACGTGAGTTGCCATTTCGGACGACTAGAACATTTTAGCCGCTTATAAATATCAAGTTTGTTGTATGAATATTTATTTCCCTACAGTCCAAGTGAGAAGAACTGGTAAAAAATTTGAACTGAATTCATTTTTTACAAAAGCCGGTTTATTTAAATTATTTACTCTTATAGGTGTCTATGTTTAACATTTATTTAAATGTAAACTTCTGTCTGAATATTACTTTAGATTCAATGTTTATGTAATGGTGTAATACACAGTCTTTCTATCCGCCGGTTTCGTCGTTTCATGTGGCTTAATGAGCAATTTCCAAACGAAGCGATCTAAAGGAACTACCTACACTAGGTTAAAGAGACGATTATTTTATTTGAACAATTATTGGGTTGAAAATTAACAAGTAGAAGCAAACTTAAATATAAGCTGTAAGTAATACAAAAATATATACAATTTAAAATTCGAATATATAGAATAATAAATAAATGAAAACTTGAAAATTGAATAACTTAAATTACATAATCAGAGTCAGTCGGAGTAAATAATAATTTAGTTTTTTAAATAAGTTGATGTCACATAAATATATTAATCGCTATTAATGAAACAATTACTTTTTAAATTATATTACATCTATATAGATTATATAACAAAATCCGCCGCCGCGTCTCTCTGTATGTTCATAATAATTTCAATAACTAATGACCATGTTGTTATGCAGAATTCATCCATCAAAAAAAAGTTATATTTAAGGAAGGTTGGGATGTATAATTTGGAAAGTTTTTGAGCAAATTATTACGTTACATATTTATTAAATTAAATAAAAATAAAGTTATGTAAAGGTTTTATTCAAATTAATTGAAATTCGTTAATAATTCATAAAATTAAATAAAAAACTAACTCAGTTTTACGTCTATAACCATTATTATTAATAATATAAGTGTATAAATATAAACACAATATTAATAGTTTGTTAATTTTGTTATTATTAAAAATTACTACATTTAATACTATCTGCCTACAGAGCACAATCAACGTGCATTATGTAGACATATAACAAGTAAAACTACGATGTATATACATACATATATAAATATAGTAGGTAGAACGGAAGAAAATCCTCAATTTTGCTCAATATTTACCCTGTCAGGTTGTTGATACAAATTGTTTGGAACATTTCCACGAAACCCGATACTTACATGAAAGGTCAAACGAGTTTTGGTTCGAATATTAATTTCAGTACATTTATAATTCTCTCTAATTCAATTTATCCAATTATTACGATTTATTAGGACTTTCTTAACTCATACGAGTAATAATAAATGAAAATAATAGAGATGCTTGTAGAGACGTTTATTATAGCACACCGCAATGACAGAGGTGATGTAAAACAAATTGTATATATAGAACATCATATTTTGAATATGGATAAAAGAATATATAAAGCTGCCAGTCATTCTCATTGTACGTCTAACAATATACCCTCGGTGGTATAGCGGTTTAGCGGTCTGGGTGTCTGTCTACTCTATATATTATTTACGTATAATATTTACAAAAAAATATATATCTATGTAGTTCTATAAGTTGTCTAGTACGCCTAACACAAGCTATGCTTAGCTTGAGATTAGATGGCGCTGTAGAAGTTGTCCTGAGATATTAATTTAGTATTAACATTATACCTTTTCACGTTGTCAGTTCTATACATATAATAAAAATGTAACTGATGGATGTCTGTACATATGATATATAAGAAAAACTATTAGTGGGAGACTTTATCCCAAAACAATTACTGTTATAGTATTTTTTTATTTGTGGGTGCTAATCTCAGAAACTTGCTTGTCTGTTTTCGATTCGGTTTTTCATTTATAAATGCAAGATACGCTTCACTTGTAATGTTGTGTATATGTAAATTGTAAGTTACAAAAATGCCACAATGTATTAATTGATAAAATCACTGATAAGATAATTTTACTAAAATAAATTATTTTGATAGTAAAGTTCACTATCAAAATTATTTATTTTAAATAATCATACCAAATTACCTATTTTAAAAATTGTAACGTCAGTATATACTTTATGAGATACTTCTTATTAACTTATTGCCTAAAGATTTTGTAACGGAATATTCAGTCACTACATAAAAAGAACGCAACGTTAGGTTATATAGAAACCTACGTATAATTTTACGTATATTTAACGTAGTTACGTATATGTCAAATATATAATTAATTTTAGTAACTTTAGGACATTTATCTACGTTTAACTGTGGTATAGTTATCAATAATTATTTAAACAATAATGTCTTATAACTCATGATGAATATACAGATCAAATAAGACAGACTTTTTAACTTAATTTTCGTTAGGTATAATAATAACTACCTAAATAAAATAATTAAAATAACTCATTAATTAACTTTAAAACAGTGGAATGACTAAGCTATGTGGTCATATAATATACCTATAAATAATATTACATTCAAAGTTTACCTAATTATATTAAATATGTTTTAAAAATTCAGAGAGAATAATAAAACAGAATACTAATTCAATTTACAAGGAATCCATTCGTTACGCGTCCATTATTTCAATATTTAAATTCTCTCTAACGTAAAATACATTATATATAATATTAAAAAGATATAATACCTTGCTTCTATTTCGGGGGTCCCTAAAGTCTTCCTTCGAGGCCTTCCTTCTTTTGTCCTTCAATATCATGCGTGCAGCTGCGAACGCCATGTTGAATTTTTTACCGCTTCTTTTCGTATGCCACAATTAAATCACTCACACCAATTTCACTTTATTACCACATCATGTGGTTATATTTTAAATTTAGAATGGAACACTATGACGTCAATTTTAGTCAAATCACAACTGCACTAGCGTAAAATTTATGAGTCACTTTTAAAATACTTAGTTCTAATTCACTTTATGAGTTTACTAATTTATTATATGGATAATTAAACGCAATCACAGACTTTTAAATTTGGAATTGACTAATAATTGCATTTAGTATTTATTTAGGCAGATCACTGATTTTAACATTTAACTTTTAACACTTCTATAACATTTGTTAACTTGTTAATACGAAACTTAACAACTTATTGCCCTCTTCGTTGTTTTAACTCAACAATTTTACTATTTAATAACAAACTACTCACTAATTCCAACTATATTTTTTTTAATCTGAAAATGTATAAAGTGGTTGTCAGTTAAGGTAAAAATGGATTATAATCACTGTCATACTAATATATTATACATATTATAATATTTTCATACATTTCATCCATACATATATATTTCATTCATATATAGCCATAAATACATTTGAATTAAATATAATTACATTCATATATCACCATATATTTCGTTTTGTATTTCTTGACACAATGTTACAATTTCAATTTTTTTATAATTAGATATTAAAAATCTACATATATATGATCAGCATATATAGACTGCTACCACTTATCAGTTGGTATTAATTAAAATAAGTTTTGTGCCAAAAGTTCTTACTTTTAATTTAGCGTTACTCGCTTTAAAAGTTACGTTGCACCAAATATATGCAAACGTTAATGATTTTATAAGAGGTCTTGTAATTCTCTATACAAGAACAGAACTCTTCAATAACAAAAGTCTGTAACGCAGTTGCGCAGTCAAAGTTTTTACACAACAACGTTTTTCGTTGGGAACTTTCAAAGCAAAATTACATTTTATTTCACATTTTGTACAACGAGTCTGCTTTGCAGTTTCGTTTAAGATTTCAAGTGCTCACTCAATTTGAACACCAACTTAAGTTATATATTTTTTTACTGACTTCTAAATATGTTTGCAGTTTATTTTTAAGTACGAGACGAATAAGTTTATAAAAATCACTACAGATACTTTCATCATAGCTGTTATCCCAAATGAGCGAGTCAGAGGAATTTAAACTTTCGACATCTTATACACTTGACATATCACTGGGTACATTCTTTTCTTCTCTAGGATTTGGTTTGTTATCAGAATTTGCATAACCGGAAGGTCAGTTAGTAATATCAACAGAAAAACAGTGTTTTGTACCGAAATACACACATACTACATTCGTACTCCTGACCTTTGGGGGTGGTAACACTGTCATCTTACTAATTTATTTATTTATGTTGATGATTTATTTATTTATGAGATGAATGTTACTATTTCACGCAAAAACTACTAAACTGATTTTGATGAAACTTTACAGTAATATAGCTTATATAGCTAAATAAAATACAGGCTAAAATTTAATGATAATAAATTGACCGAAATTTAATGATAAATGTTAAGCAAGTGTGATGCAGACGAAGTCGGGTCGGCTAGTAAAGAATAAGTAGAAGATAATAAAATATATATACATATATATTTATTTCTGCAGTGAGTGCTGTAGGCACTACACGCCATGATTTCCTATGTTATGTCTATGTTACATTTATAACCCATTTTATAAATATAAAAAATTAGGAATATAATATAAATATATGTTTATTTTCGCTTTCTATAGACAGTATGATACTTTTTATCGTTCTGGGTATTTTCTATGTAGATTAGGTATGTATTTACAAAAAAAAAATATCTTTGTATATGGATGTACACTAGTACCCTCAACACAAGCTCTACTTAGCTTGGGATTAGATGGCGTTGTGTGAGTTCTCTTGATATATTTTATTATTATATAAAAACAAATCATCATCATTCATCATTGCCTCAACGTTATCCCATTATTTGTGGTCGGCGCAGTATGTCAGTCTCTTCCACTGCTCTCTATCGGTCGTCATATCTGAGCATACTCTCTTTTTATTCATATCATCTTCCACACAATCCATCCATATTATTTTAGGGCGTCCTATTCCTTTCCCCATCCACGTTTATATACAAATATATAAAAATAAATCATCAAAATTAATAATATCTCTTACATGATACTCCTTACGGTAGTGAATAAAAATATAATACAAAAAAATATGTTCACAAGCGGCTAAGGCTAAAATGTCCTACATTAATAAATAATTTTTGATTTGATTTCTGAAGTAGGTTACAAATCATACAAACTATATAAATATATTTTATCGATTTCATATCAAAACCTTATTATGGTTAACAAACATCGAATAAATATGCTTATTAACTAATTCCACTCGCTTATATCATACTCCTCATAAACGGTAGTAAGTAAAAAATTAGAATTTTTAGGAAATCGACTTTATTGTCTATCTATAAAGTCCATTTCCCAATACTTGTAATTTGTGACTTAATGCAGTTTATTACTATGATTGCGATATGTATTACTGTATTGAATCGATACTATGGTGCATCACAAATATGAGTTCTAATAATCGATATTAGTGGCTATAATTATCGGTATTCGTATACTAGCGACATACCAATGCTTCACGCGGATATAATAAGTAGCGATCAAAAAATTTGATTATTTATTAATTCACCTAAATTTGATTGAAATATGTTATTCATATTCTGAATGAAAAACTTACCTCTTACTAATATTATAAACGTGAAAGTTTGAGAGTATAGATGTATAGATAGATTTGAACGGTTTGTTACTCTTTCACAGAAAAACTGTTAAACAAATTTTGATAAAATTTTACAGTAATATAGCTATACATCTGAAGAACACATACGTTTGTATTGTATAACGTTTGTATGTATAATATATGTATATATATGTTATAGTACAGTATCATAAGTACAAATAAAATTGTGACACTTTCAAAACCAACTTCTTACTTAAAAAACAATATTACTAATAATCTGTAGTATTTACATTTAACAAGTTTCATCGTATTTTAAATAATTTGATAACTGTAATATATTCAAACGGCCTCGGTGGTCTAGCGGTTGAGCACACCCCTATTACTTCTGATGATCGCGAGTTTGATTCCTCCCACAAATATTCATTATTCAACAAACAATCATACTCATGAATACATATAAGTATGATTATTTGTCACGATCAGAGTGTTTTTATGTATATTATGTATTTGTATACAAAAGTAAAAATATCTAAGTATCTATATCAGTAGTTTAGTACCCATAACACAAGCTCAGCTTAGCTTGGGACTAGATGGCGCTGTGTGAACAGGCATATTATTACGATTATTACAAAATATTTTAGAAATATTCTTATATTTTTTATACTATTTTTCTCAGTTATAGAACTCTAGTTCATAAGTGTATGTAGGTAAATACACTTACAACTTTGTAATTGGTGAACTTGCTCTCAACAAATACAAAGAATAATAAAAAAAAACTTACTCAATCTATACTTCGTGTAGACTGTGGGGGAGCGGCAATAACCTTTAATGTATAGTGTACCATCCCCTTAAGAAGTGTACAAACACTGAGCAATCAAAGTACAAAATAAACAGGCTCGCTTCAACAAGTTTTTGGGTTAAGCTGTGTACATATACACCGAAACCGTCGTTATTAAAGGTACTTTCATATATGTATACGGTGCGGTGCTGTACGTTGCGGTGCGGTGCGATGCGATGCGATGCGGTATATTAATTACACTAAATGGTACTGTATTAATTATCCAGGGTTATTTTATGTAATATTATATTATCTGTGGTAATAATAATAATAAGAATCATAACGCAAAATCAAGCAACGAGAGACTTGGTATGTGCCGTCCTCGGTACTAATCACCAGCTTAAGCAGTGAAAAAGAAATATAATAATCTCAGGACAATTCACACAGCGCCATCCAGATCCAAGTTAAGCTAGCTAAAGCTTTTCCTATGGGTACTAAATAACTGATACAAATACATAGATATTTTTTTTCGTAAATACATACATTATACCTAGAAAACACCCAGACCGATACCAACAATCATACTCATGAATACAAAATTGCACCGTGCGAGGAACCGAACGTATCCGCGACGATCCGAAGTAAAGCGGTGTGCTAAACTGCTAGACCACCGAGGCCTTGTACATTAATTTTAAAATCTTTAAGGTACTCAAAACAAGCGATGTAATGCGATGGAACGCGGTGCATTATATGACTAACATCAAAAGCATTACTGAAATGTCGTACTTTAATTGTGGATATATGGATGTTAAGTATTGATCCTATAATAAGTTGAGTAATGAAATTACATGGTAATGAATGAAATAGTTAGTGTATGGGAGTGTATGAATTGTGGGGAGATCAAAGGCTAGAGGAAGTAAGGCTACCGTACAATGGTAACCAACGTATTGTCGCAAATATTTTACTTAAACTAATATCAATTTTAAACAAAATAATGCCTATAAAAGAACACATAACGTGCATATAGTTTCCATCATTTATAATATGTTATTATTACATTAACATAGTTTAAAAAAACTAGTACCGAAAATTCTATCTATATTAATATTATAAATGATAAAGTCTGTCCATTTGTCACCTTCTCCCTACGAAACAATGGAAGGGATCTCAATATAAGAACAAGGACATAGAAATTCTAGGACATGACCGTCCTACAGACCTACCGCTTGCTTTTATAAAAAAAAATGTTGAAGTCGGTGAAATAAAAAACATATATTTATGCAAACGAAATCGCGGACAACTCCTAGTATTGTATATGTAACTAATATGTCCACAGTTTTTGCAATAAATCTAAGATTGCGTGTCGCCTCAACCCGAATAGGATTTCAGGACCCGAAAGTTACCCAATTAAGGCACACATGAGGCTCGGTGACCTGGCTACAAAGACAATTTGA